GCGGGAGCAGCCCTGGCCGCGTCAGGCAGGGCCCCCATTCAAGCGGGTAAGCAGTGAAACAATGTTTAACCAGTTAACTGGTCGATTGGGATTTCACACGCCTACCCAGAAGCCCACGGGGTGTGGAGGCAGAGGGCCCCTACCGTGCTTAGCCAGCAGAGCCACGTGGGACATGTCCGCTGACCAGAGGGTAAGCAGTGAAACAATGTTTAACCAGTTAACTGGTCGATTGGGATTTCACACGCCTACCCAGAAGCCCACGGGGTGTGCGAGGCAGAGGGCCCCTACCGTGCTTAGCCAGCAGAGCCACGTGGGACATGTCCGCTGACCAGATGACGTACTTCACCTTGGAGATCTTCACCGAAGCCTGGGTCCTGCAGGGGAGACAGCGTTACCGCAAGGGCCTCTCCCAGGGAGACTCACAGCAGCCCTCCCCTTAGGTCTATGGGCTCCCGCTCCTGAGCAGCACGGGGCTTGATTCTCAGCTACCGAAGAGCCCTTTACGCCGGGCCGGCACTGGAAAGCAGCGATTACGGCGCGTCTACACGAAACGGACGCTGCCGGACTAGCAGTAAGGGGCCCTCGCCCGAGAGCCGGATCCTCGGGAGTCTAGTCACACCAGGAGACGCCCCCCAAAGCTACACAGGCCGAGATGTGTAAAGCGACAACTTAAAAGCCCCAACTTTGGGGTTTATTTTCAGAGGCAGATTTTCCAGTTCCCGTGGAACTTCTGTTTCACTAACAGCTTGACACAACCCTCCTTGCAGCGCTAGAAACCCAGGCCTTGGGCTAGCGCTAAGTAGAAATGACAGGAAGCAGGCTAGTTTCAAGGCACAGCACTGGGTGAAAGGCCAAGTCAATCTGTCTGTAAATGCCTCGGTATCTTTCCTCTGGGATTCGACAGACCCTGGTAACACACAAGGACGCTTGCAAGGCACCGTGTGCGTACCGGCAGGGGCCTTTACAACAGACCCAGGTGCACTAGGGATCACCGGCGTAGGGCTTTGGCCAAATTCAGAGCCTCGTTCTCCCCCACCCTCTGCCTTGCATGGTCAGTGCACAAGTGGCAGCATTTCACGCTCACTTCGCACCAGTGTAAGTTTTGTCACAAGGTGTAGAACAAGGGGGAGTCGGCGCCCTGACCACCACTGAGGCTGGTGCTTTGTCAGTCTGATTCTGCAGTCGCAGTGATGAACACACCTGTCCCTCAGAGGTGACAGTGCCTGCAGAACAAGCGGCACCATGGCCCTTGTAACAGCTGGTAGCTGCGATTTGGCTCAATGTGACACTGCTTGCAGCTGGCGCTAGGTCTGGGTGGGTATCAACAGCGTTCCCTGCCCCAACAGGCACCCCGTGGCAGGATCACAAGGGAGGGACCTTACCGCTTCTGCTGCACATCGAAGAGGGTGATGGAGTCCGCGTCCCTCAGTAACAGGTTCCCGGTGCCGGCGTAGAAAATCTCATCACAGTTGGGGACCTGCACTTTCTTGGTAATCTCATTCTTCAAGTTCTTGATTAGGATCTGTGGTGCAGGGAGGGGAAATCGAGGAGCGAGGTAGCTAGTTAGGAACAATAGAAGATTTCCCATTTGCAATCCAAATGGAGTCTACACACCACACTGCTCTTAAGCTGGTTCCAGCACGTACCAGCTCCCACCAGCCCCAAGGGGGGCAGGTTAAGCCATCTCTGCATGCACTGCGAGCCCATGCTCGTGGGTTCACCGTGTACACGGTTCCACTTTCGCACCCTCCTCTGTATCTCTCTGGCTAGTGAAGTTCAACCTTCTGGCAGGATCTGCGAGCTCTGCAGGAGGGGCGAGGATGGAAAAGATGCAGCGGAGGAAATGTAGAGCGCTCGGCAGGAGAGGGAAACAGAGGGGTGGTCGAAAGGGAGGAAGCAGGAAGAGGCCAATCCGAGGCCAGAAACCAGAGAACAAGGAACAGCGGAAGGGAGAGAAGCAGGAAGTTCCAAAGTCTGCTCCTCAGGAGGTGGCGGCAGCGTCTATTGCACGGAGCTGTGCCGCTGCACTAACGTCGCAGGGTGCGCACACGTATTTCTTCAGCTGCCCGGCTGGCGCTGGGGGACGATCTGAGCCCTGCTTCTCTCCCGTCAAGGGGGAGGCAACCGACAGGCTGTAAAGCGTGACAATGCCATTTACCCCTTTGTGCCTTTACAGTGACACCAGCAGACCACTTTCCTTCCCGACTCTGGTCAGTTTCACTTCGAGTCTCCCATTTCAACTCAAAGCCTGGGCCCCCCACTGCAATCCCAGCCCAGCAGGCAACCGCTAGGGTAACCGAATGGTAGGTCAGCTAAGCCACTAAGCAGGATCCCGGGCAGGGGGCAGGTTAGGCTCCCTCTGCAGAGGCTG